GTGACGCCGACGAAGCAAATTTCCAACCCACCTTTACCTTCCTAAGCTCACTATACAGCCCATTATCAATTAGCATCCCTCTTACCAAATATAAGGGTTGTTCCAGAACTATGTGACAGGTATGCCTTATTAATATTTACATTTAGTATCGATTTTGTCCAATCAGAATGTGTCTGTATCTAATTTTAATACAAACCCAAAAAAGGAAATTCAACGTAAAAATAAACTAAGTTCGTGAAAATAAAAATTTAGGGTTAGAACGCTAAAGTTAGATGCTATAGAAATAAACATTTGATTTCTATATGTAAAATTTCATTTCCGTCACTTTTAATTAGTGATCAAAGACAGGTTGAAACACTCAGTTTCTTGTATTTTCGCTATTTTCGTGTTTTTCTTCACTTCGCTCACGTGTCGGGTTGATCCGGGATAATCATATTTTACGTTCTCCGATGCTAATTTCTCTTTTTGGATTTGTATCACTCGCACAAGTGCACGCATGACTAGGGTACCACTTCACGATCTGGTCTTTTGTAGAACGAACGCAACCCTAAATAAGGTTTTTGATCATTTGAGGATACTCCGATTTGTGAAATTAGTAAATGCATTACTGTTACAGTACAGCGGTATAAATAAGGCGCACTACGCATTAATTAGGTTTTTGCAGTCCTCGCAATAACAAACTTTATAAATTTTTACGCATACGTATTGACCTTGTTAAAATAGATTCTATAGAAATGTCTAATTTAGCTGTAACAGATTGTATGTTTGAAAATTAGTCTTAAGATAATGTCTTATATAACTATATAAACGTTTTACGTGTTACTATACTAAATTATATTCATATCCTGCAGATGAAAACTTTGCAAATAATAAAATGCCAAATCTCGGTTATGAGATTGAAGATTTCCAGCATTACACGTGGCAAATCACTGGTTGGGGAAATCTGGACGAGCGGGTGAGAAGTCCTGGATTTATTGCTGGAGGTTGTAGATGGTAGGCTTATTTATACTTAATTTATATGTAAATACATGTGATCATATTTCTTATAAGCCTAAATCTAGGCGTATTTTGCTTTATCCTTTTGGAAATAATAATTATACTGATTATGTATCAATGTACCTGGAATCTGAACCTCATGGAGCATCTTATCATTGGCATTCCTGTGCACAGTTTACTTTTACCTTATGGAATTCAGAAGATCCAACATTATATGTTTATAACAGTACATATGAGAAATATTTTATTCGGTAAATCTTAATAAGTCTTGTCGCTAATATATTGATTTTTACTTATAGCTACACAACACCGTTTTAATGCTGAAGGATTGAACTTGGGATATCCAAAGTTTTGCGAACAGCGTGATTTGTTTGTTCCAATGAAAAACCAAATTCGTCCTCTAATCGAAAATGATTCGTGCAATATCACAGTTTTCGTTCGTGTTATTAAGGACCCAACTGGCTATCTCTGGCATAATTTTAAAAAGTATTCTTTTTTTTTTCTTTTACTTATATTTCGAACTTAAAGTTGATTTTTAACATGTAAACCCTTTATAGTTATGACTCAAAACGAGAAACTGGTTGTATTGTCCTAAAAAATGAGGGAACAACTGGATATATGAATGCTTCGCTACAATTGTTATTCAACATGACTAGTTTTCGTAAGGTTAGCATTCGTCCACTAAGCTTTAAACCAACATTAAGTCTGCTTACATTCACCTTTTTATTATAGGCAGTGTACCAAATCCCTACGGATTCTGACAAACCAGATGAAAGCGTTCAATTTGCTCTACAAAATATTTTTTATCAAATGCAAACATCAAATACCCCAGTTAGAGCAACAGAATTAATGAAATCTTTTGGATGGGATTCATTAAACTCTTTTATGCAGCACGATGCTCATGAGTTTAACAAAGCATTACAAAACAATTTAGAAAGTAAAATGAAGGTGAGTTTTGTTATTACAAGTCTCTCTCTTTATAGTGAAGTAATCGAAACTATTAGTAAAAGCTTTTAAAAATTCACTGAGAGTTTTATTAGTAAATTCATTACTATGTTGAGAATTTTATATAGATTGGTTTTGTGTTTAATTTCACTATAACTATGGTTCCTTTTTCTGTGAGTCTGAGATTCTTTTTAAATTCTTCTGTCATCACTATATCAAGAGTTCATTATAACAAGTGTGACTTAATTGAGCAGAGTCCAATATGAATCTTATTGTAAAATACCAGAAATTTCTGTTTGATTAAGATGATTTCTGACGTTGTTGCTTACTTTCCCGAAATGTTATTTCACCGACTCATAATTCTGATATCTTTTTTTCTTGACAAAACCATTTCCGACAACTTAGTTCGCTGACAGTTTATTTCACCAAAAGTAATTCCGATTATTGTTGTTAGAGTCAGTTTAGAATTAAGTTAAGGTTAGTGCAATTTTTAAAAAAAGCTTACTGGTGAAATGAACTGTCGGGTAATTATAGGTGAAATGACATAGATCTAATTATGTCCTGTTAGTAAAATGGATTTCAGTATTACAACTTCGGTGACTTCGGGAAGTTAATTCGAAACTGATTTCTGGCGTAATTTTAAGACAGTCAGATAATTATATTATTTTAGATATTCTCAAGCAGTTCCTTCAATGTGATTTACTGGTGATATGGATGTTGCTTAAGCATTTCATTATAGTAGTTTTGTCAAAAATTCATTCAACAAAATGTGATAAATTTCAGAACAAATTTGTCAAGGTTTTTTCTTGATTTAAATGATTATTAGATTTACTTTTTAGCAAAAAGATTCATTCCATAAATCATAGAGGGAAGCGCTTGAAAACAGCAAATTTCATTGGTTAAAAATAAAAAAATCATTTTAGAGAAAAGCAGGTTAAATGTAATTGAGTCAATTTTTACCAAATTCACAATAAATTATAGGATACAAATGCAATTTCCGCACTCTTTGCTGAAAAAATAAAGAGTCATATTAAATGTATTGACGTAGACTATGAGTCATATTGTGTTGAAGATTACTATGGTATGAATGAATATATTAGTTATGAACAAATTGCTATTTTTTAAGACTAGTTTAAAGTAACAATTAATTATATCATCTTACGTAGATATTCAACTTAATGTGAAAGGGTGCAAGAATTTGGATGAATCTTTCATGGATTATATAAAAGAGGAAATTTTAGAAGGAAATAATAAGTATAATGCTGATGGCTACGGACTACAAGTAAGTAGGATTTTTGACAAACATATGTAGGATAGATAATTAACAACATTTATATTGAAAGTAAGTTTTCTAATTCTATAGAAGGCGAAGAAAGGTGTAATCTTTG